GCAGCTCATTCGCTCTTTTTATTTGTCATACAGAAATTGGTTAATGTTGGTGTAAAAGGAAACCTAGGTGAATCATTTGACTACTTTGGGCGAACATTAAGGGACCTCTTTGCTTATTTCTCGTGGTTGGCATTTCTTCAATACTGTATCGTTAAACAATGTGTTTTTAACGAAGGAAGGATTTTGGATGGGAACAAGCATTATTACAATCTTAGCCAAGTTTGGTAATATCATGTGGGATGCTGCTGTGTTGGAATTGGTAATCATTCTATAATCGTACCACCTGCTGCGGGTTTGCCTGACTGATGAATCCACCAACGATTAGAAGGGTTGGTTCTATACGACGTATAACATCCATACCACCCCACCACGACCATACAATTTGCAATTTGCGAATGTACAACGCAAGATCTTGCCAGTTCCCTTACTAGACTCATCTCCAACTCCGTGCCCGTTCCCTCGGTACTTCAAACGCTCGGTCCCGAATGCCTAATGGGAAATACATAGAGATGAGATTAAACCGGATTTTATCATCGCTTGGAACATCCAAGAATTGGTGAAAATTCCATCAGATCAGTCTTGTCTTCCCCTTCTGGACGAGGGTTCCATGCCTTTTCGTTTGGAGGAGACAGGGAGGGAGACAGGGAGAGGGAGGGAGGGAGGTAAGTAGGTAATAAGTCTGTTTGGATTTCACAGTACAATTCAATACAACACGATACAATCCATACCCACTCACTACTCAAAATACTGGTAATTATGGTATAACTACGGTACTCTACTGTTTGAATTTATTTCACTAGCTTGTTCAATCTCTCACTCAGGGTCCTACAAATGACATTGGTCGCCGACCGCCCGCTTTTTGTCATCATTGCACAACCACAACCTTTTCCTTTTCTATCCACCCATTCCCATTCATTCCACTCATTCCACTCATTGTATTTTTATTGTCTTGTAACACACATGAGTAATCACCGGTCATCATGCTTCCGAAATGAATCTTGAAAAGAGTTCGTATAAAACAGTGCTGAATAGTGATAGGCACGGGTAAGTAGGATCTACCAAAGACATGGTGAAAAGATCATCGCTGAGCAGTCTCAATCAAGCCCTTCCTCTCATGATCAATATACAGCGTACATCTTCCTCTGCGGTCGTATATTACCACCTATGTGATGATGAGAAAAAGGCCACGACATTTGATTCACATGCTCCGTTTGAACTTTGACAACAAATCTCGTCTCAAACATTTAAAACAATATCTTGCTTCCCAAGGCAACGCTTCGATAACTTGTAATTATGCAGGTGATGCCCTTTTACCCTGATCAGGGACGTGCTCCGGCGGCCTCCAACTCGTTTGGGTTTAATTTACTTGGTAAAACTTGTCTGGATTCTACAAGCAAACGAACAACAAAAAAAGAACGTTTGACTGATCCACCTATGTACTCAAAGCCTCAAACATCACATCCATTAGCTCCCGGCTGATCATGGAAAATGTTGAAATGTCAATCATGAGTAGAAGCGAGCAAAAGAACAAGAAGATGCAAGCGTGAGATGCAAAAAGAGCCGCGTTTCAGGGGTTTCTCAGGATGATCTCAAGCCACCGAATGCTAAAAGACGCCAACGGTGAAAAGATGCCAAGATCGATTCGTCTATTGGAAAAAAGAAACTCCAGCATTTCATTTCGGTACATGTCCCTTGTTGATAAAGACAATTTCTTTTCTTTTTCTCCCAAGAGCCGAACGAGACGCATATTTCATATTTCCGGATTCGGATCCGAGTGCATATCTCTACAGTGCCGCAAACGGGCCGCAGCATGACCCCCTCCCCATATTGCTTGTTGCCCCCTCGCAACTATGGCCTCTTCGGGTAATTTTCAATCTTATCCTGGGACACGACCTCCGTAGAAACTCCAACGACTCGTTTGGTGTAAAACGTGGTATTCCCGCAAGAATCCATGAAGCCAACGATAGCAATTTTACTCCGACGGCTAAGCGCGGTCAGCAAAGAAGTATGCTCTGTTCTTAAAATGATCAAGTCCATCCATGTCAAAGGAATATACCGAAACTGATATCCAAAGAACTGGTATGATGACCCGACTGTGCCTCTTGTCTGCAGGGACAAGCGCCGAGATTTGGGACCAACCAAATTTATCTACACTCCTCACTGCAGATAATATGGAGAAACAGCTCGGGTCTGGTGCCAAGGCTTCAGGGGTGGGAAATAGCCCTCCATGGGTGCCACGAAGTCCACGATAAGGCCAGTCACAATGCCGTCGGACGTGCTTGCCGAATAACCCGGGAGGGGTTTGGGAAATACCGTTGTAATTGAGTTGCGGTACATCAGAGTGGAGTGAAGAGTGAACCATGTGATTTTTCCCATGACAAAACCAATATTAATGCCAACGTCGAGGAGGAACACTAAGGAGGCATGAATATTTGGTAATCTTCCTTCAGTACGTAAAATTCTCCTCAAGCACCCAAGTAGTACCTTCCACAGAAGTTCCAAATCCAACAAAGTTTCCATGCCTTTAGGCTTACTTTCTTTGGGGCTCAAATAGAATTGAACAAACGAGATTGGGCACAGCACGAAAGAACAGTCTGGTCGGCCTCCCACAAGGACTAGCATTGCATTCCTTCTGACTGCGAGACTCTTGGCATCCATGTGCCGCACACATCCAACGTCACGAAAGGTCATATTGTCTCGGGATTTTCGAGAACGATATATTACCATAAGCTGCCTAGCGGGATTCAATGCTACTCGCCTAGAAGATAATACTTGAGAGGATTTGATTGGTCTAATTACGAGCAAACGGCAAGCCTGTCAGCTTTGAATCTTCAGAATCACCATACCGTGTCATGCAAAATTCTAAAGATAGTCCCCAAATTTCCAATACACATAACAGACCCAGACAATGGGTAAACAACAAGTGGTGCAGATCGAAGAAGGTCTCATTACCGGCCGTTGCGTGAAAAAGTACGAACTTTGTGCGATCAAATCCGAGAAAGGCAGGTCGGTTAGGTGTTACCAACACCTTGGGTCAGCTTCAAACCACACCTGGGTATTTTATTAATTCAAGTGTAATTAACATGGATACCATTGGGACTTCCATGATTTATTTAAGTTTCGACAAGGGCTTGCTTACACAACTGGGGGTGAATAGACGAAGAAGAAAAGCCCTGGGGAGCGGAAGAATATCCGAGCTCTCTACGTGGAGTGAAGGTCGGTGGGTAGGACTCCAGGGAGTCAAAGTCTAGATTCTGATACGCACATCGCTTGTTAGCCCAAAGATGCCAGAATAATACCGGCATCCCACAGGCCACTCGTTAAAATTTTCCACAAGCGGGAAATTTAATAGATGATCCCACGTTTTTCCTTTTTACTCCATGCGGATCGTGAGGCAGATGGAGACGGGGAGACGACAGTTGTAAGCTGGATCCGAGGGTAGTCTAGCGTCATTGAGGCTGCAAAGTGTAACCCAAGACTGTGCAATCTGCACTGCACTACCGATGAGGGGTTCGGATATGCCGTGATTCGTATAAATCTTGGAAAAAGAATAGTTCATTATTGGTGCGAAATAACGGAAGCGTCATATTATGGACGGGCAGCCAATCAGAGAAAAGAGCGAAGAGCGAGATTATGGGGAAGTGCTAATCGAAATTTATGGTATCCTTGATTTAGCGATGGCAATTTATGCTGCGAGAGAAATTTCATGTCGAAGAATGGAGACAGTGACAGGGCAATAGTTCAAATATGGGACGAAAATTCAGGAACCTATTTTCTTGATATTGTAGCGTATCATATTGTATCGCGTACCTACTTTCGGGGGGAACCAACTGTTATCCTCGCCGAGATTATGGATGGGTGGGCTGGGTCGTTCGCAGAGAGAATCGAACGATTATTGTCTTGACGTATGGATAACATCATGCAAGTTGTGGGTGAAGAATGGGAGAAATTGGAGAAACTAATTCCGGGAATGTGTCCAGTGTTCCTTTTCGTTTCGACTCATGAATAAGTCTGAAGTCATCATGCCATGGCCATATAAACCATGCATGTGTAGTATACATGTCCCAATGTCGGGTGTCTACATGTGATGTATGTCAGTACCCAAAGATATTCGTGTTATTCAGGTTATTCATGTGCCTAGCAGTGCCTACATCCGATTCTACACGGTGTTGGGATCGGCTCAATCTATTGTCCGAATTTGCATAAGCATGTTCATCTGATGGCTGGGCATGATACTTGCTGAGTGACAATGGGTGAATTATTATGTTATGCATTAGATGGAATAGTATAGTTTTTCTTTTATCCTTTTGGGTTTCCTTACTTCTGCTAAGGATTAGGTTCTCCGGTAGAGCGAGCTAAATGATTTCCTTTATTGGTATGCGATGTGATACAATCACCTCCTCGCAGGTCGCAGCCGACAGAATCATCAATCATCTAATCGTCGATTTGTTCCCACACCCTTTCCCAAAGATAGTAGAAAATTCATCATCACTCATTAAGATTGTATGGCTTAGAAGGGTCCCAGCGGAGTGGTTACATTTATCCATCAATATTCTACAGCCAGCCCACAGCAAGGCCCAATTATCCGATATAGGTGATTCTGCCTTTGCTTAGCTATTCTTCCGTTTTACCCTCCATTTTCCAACCGCGCGTTTCAATCCAATCATACCCTATCGCATCACTCGGACATTAGTAGCTGCGGGTATACAGATACGGCATTGACTAGGGAGAGCTATCTTTTCTCATGCCGTGCCACTAAAATTTGTTCCAGCCTCTCACATCTCTGTTTATACTGCTGCCTTGTCATGTTGGTACGATGAATTCTTGGGAGGGTGAAAGTTTGTGGAGACGAGAGACAATGACAATGACAGCCCGGCATCTACTCCCGTGCTGCAAAGACCACTTACGGAGCAACCCTCACCCTCATTATTAATTTAAACATGTACCTACCTTCTTGATTGACCTCTGATTAAATTATTGCCATCCATCGATTCTCTCCCATGTCCGCGCTCGCCACGATATCCACCCCCAAAAATCCATGTTCCGTGTACGAACCTGGAAATTCTCTCGTCGTGAATAGTGGACCTTCGTTCCCCTACACTGCAAACATGTTCAACCTTCACATGTTACCATCTCTGGGGACGTGGCCCGCCATGCCACATGGTTTTTACGATCTTTAGAGGCACGGCACAGCAAAAGCAATCTTGCGTGATGCTGTCAGCTGCGTGGCAGTCGAACCGCACAGCAAAAGTGGTGTTTTGGAGGGGGATGGGAAACCCTTTTTCTTGACTGGTGATTGAAAAGCCCACCATGACACAATATTCCCATCCTGCCTCATTCGACTTCATTCTTTTTCCAAGGATTTTTTCATTCGTTCCATGGTTTCGAGATATTGTAACGGCGACGGGGATGAGATTCTAATTGTAGTGTTTCTAATATGTCATGGAGATGCAAGGGATCAATAGTGTAGCATAAGCTTCATTTCGACCACGATGTGATGTAGCATTGATTAAGTATTCAAGAGGCGTAATCCAGTTGATTCGATGTAAGCTCCTCAATTTTACGATGCCGTAAGCACGCGTGCATTACAAGAAAGCCCTCGCACTTTGATTCCGAATTAGAAACATGGGGAAGGATCCTTCCAATGGAGCGAACAATCACCAGAAGTTTCCTAGAAACTCCTGCGCCACTCGCTCCCAGAGGATTGTTTTCTTCTTCTTCTTCTTCTTCTTCTTCTTCTTCTTCTTCTTCTTCTTCTTCTTCAAAGTTCTCTGGCTTCGGTAAAATGCTTGAATGCTAACGGGGAGCTCACCGCTCTTGCTCATTCGCTGTCTCGTTGTCTCCGTGAAATTGAAGGATTCCTTCGTGTGTCACTGCATTTCCTCCCACACACCGCTAATATACGGCATACAGAAGTGTAAGACGGCACATTGAACAAGCAAGATGGGAGACAAGGAAGTATCGTGGTCTTCACGGGGGCGTTGTCCACTCTCTCTCGGCATAGTCTGCTGATGGGAGACGTCGCGTAGGCAACAGAATGAAGGATTCCTCCACCTTCCTCTTTCTCTCAAGACTGCGTTTCCCTCATATCGTGATATTCTCGTGCTGGCCTTGTCGGTGGCTTTCTGCTTCCGATGGAAAGGTCTGCGCCGCATGTACTTGCTCCTGAAACTCAGACATATATGTGTATGTACGTGAAAGCGATTATTGAGATGCTTTGAATGGATGGCTACACGGAGATTGTATCGACTACATAATCTTCCTTTGGGCATTTTTTTCATTCTCTCAAGACACATCGTGAAATCCTATGCTGCTTCAATTAATGATGAGAGTAGCCAAAAACCCATGAGCATAGCAAATTCCCCGTTTGTTGTATCCACAGTGATCTACATGCCTCACAATGTCTTTCATGTACGTATGTGTAAAAGAGCGATCGTAACAATTTCTATTTCCATCATGAACGCATCGGCAGGCAAACTAAAATTAAAGCCTCGTCAATCGCGATCTCCACCAGACGGCCATGTACCGGATCTACCTGTTCCAAACCACCTTCCAAGACTCGCCTCACTGCCACGTCTTTCGTCGCATGGCGCTTCTGGGCTTCCTTCCTGTGTGAGTAACGGTTGCGATCATCACTCCGTTCCAGTCATCTGCTCTGGCCCTCGGTAAACCATGTTCCCTCGCACATCTCTGTGTGCACGTATCGTATGTCGTTCCTATTGAATTATCGACGCTCTTCCGATCCAAGCGCTGCACCTAGCCTGGCTGAGACATACATGATGGAAAGTTTATCTGGTTGTATGATGCAATCATCTCTTTGTTGATACTCGAGCATCTCTAGTTGGTAGTTTACGAACCCCCCTCCTCTACTTGTCTCTTGTGCCGCATACTCACATCGCAGATTTCAATATCGTGGAGGCTCAAATATACTAGATCGCTGTATGTATGCTGCGTGTTATCTGCTTAGTCGATTCAAATCATAGATATACTCTACGCGCTCACTCACTCGCATAACTTCTACTTTCGTTGCTGAGTGCATACATGTACAACCAATCATGAGGTGAAGCTTTGCTGTGCGAATTATCATACCACACTATTTGCTCTTATGGAGTAGAGGGAAGCGTGGATATTGGACTCTAGAGTAAACACTAGATCTACGATATTTAATTTGCAATATCAGTAGCATTTGATAGCAAATCGAGCCTTATTTGCTGTAGTGCGCTGCCCCCTCCTCGGCCATTCCATCAATCCAACAACGTCTCAATCCAGTTATAGACGAGCGATACGTGGCAGGGAGGAACGCACCCTTTACTTTCTTACATGGATTTTGTTTTATCTGGAGTGTACGTTTCGTAGATTAAGGAAGTAGTTAGGTTACGTCTATAACATGTTGGCTAGCAATAGGAGACGTTGTGTATTCCTCCAAAGATCACGTTTCGGAATTGAGCCACTGCTTTGTTTATCCCTCGAGGTGTATTCTGATAGAGGGGTGAGGATGAATTGGGTATTCATGTCAGGCATGTTTCCCGACAGGTTTGCGGATTTGCGAATTTACCGTAGAGTTTGTGTAGAGTAGGGGGTGTAGTAAGATTCTATCTGTATCTTCTTTGGAGGACGTAGAGGGAAGAGAATCTTCCACTTTGTGATCATCAATCTTACCGCAATATCTTGTTCCTTAGTTGCCTGGCTTCAATATGTGTAGATAACTATTGAAAGTAGCTAGCAAGTCGAGTGGCTTTCACCTCAATCAGTAAATGAAAAAAAACACCTTTACTTCATTTCTCTAGCCTCTAGCCATTCAGTTCAAACTAGAGAATTGTATCAACGTATTTCTGACCGTAGGAACTTTAGAAGGCTATCATCTTTTCTCGTCTATCTCTTCAACTTTCAACATAAGTCAAATCTCTCCAGTGAAAATGAACTGAACGTCCTCAACCCAGCTTTGTATATATCGAAATGCTGTATTTTCTACTCATATTTATTACAATAATCAAGTCTTTTCTGAAGAAAGCAGCAAGCTTCTGGTTATGACTCATCAAATTTGGCTTCTTATACGCTTTTGCTATAAATGTCGGCTTAGTATATATTATCAGTTCAGTATATATTGTCGACTCGATATAAATTATCAGCTCAATAAATGTTATCAGCTCAATATACATTAATGACTCAGTATAAATTATCTGCTTCGTATGTGTTATTAGCTCAGTATATATTGTTGGCTCAATATGTTGTTGACTTTGTGTATATTATTGACTTAATACATATTGCCAGATTACAGTCTAGCGACTACATCATCACTGATATTGAGTGAGCTTGAAAGTACAAAAGAATAAGGCCGTAATCTCTGAGTATTATGCATTACCTAGCTATGCATTTTTTATATGGTACATGATGTATAGGGAAAGAAGTTCGTTGGCGATCGGATGATAGCTCAATGTATCAAGATAGATTTCGAAGTCGATGTCTCTTTACTCCATCCCACTGGGATCGCTCACACTCCATCTTTCCATTTACATAATATCCCCGTTGAGCAAAAGATTCACTGTCACTGGCACTGCCGTTATCCAATTCCTTCATCTAATCATCTGGTCTATCTTATGGGGAGACATCAACAGATGCATTTACAAGTAGAGTGCGAGATTGTGCATTTTGAAAATAACAATCTATACGTTGTCATCTGATATTCCCTGTGCATAGCTACTCACTGCTTAGTAGAATGCAAAGCTGCTTCTATTGCGATAGCATTCTATATTTTGCACTATCATGATCAAGACACGAGATATATTTCAACTTATTGAAACTGTTCCGTAAACGAGGTGTGAAGCATGTCACTATTATACGCGATATGTATGGTATGAACGACCAAATCAAGTTTCTAGCATAGTCGAAAGAATCGATATTGAAGACAGAACCAAAACCTACAAAGACGTCATACAAATGTGCAAGGAGAAATATTGTAGCATTTACATTCAAAAGAATAAATAAAGGTAGAATAATTTGAAGTAAACCTCTCATATCCGCACAGAACCTTATCATCAACTACCCCAATCATCCCAGAAAGGGGAGAGGTTATTCAATAATTCACTAAACCAATCTTATAATACAATCGTCCGACTTTAGACGAATAATAACACCAATGTTCATCCCAAAACCATGTTGTAATTTGTCACTCAATCTGCATACATCTCCCCGAAAAAACCATCATCAGCCGTCGGAGGAGCCTTCGGTTGAGTCTTCGCCGGCTCTCCTACCACTTTCTCTTCCACCACCGTTTCAGTCTTCTTCACATCTGATTTCTCACTCTTAGTACTTTTCGTCGGAACCAAACTTGAGCTTTTCCTCGCATCCGTCGTAGCAACCTGCAGCATACTTGCGGTCGATGACTGTCCTTGAGCCGCCACTTTGAAACACATACACTCGCAGGGACCTGTATGTCCAGATGCTTTCTCTGAATCTCCAACGGGCTGAGCGTGAATTTCGCTCTCGGAAAGTTGTGCGGTTTCGTATTCGAGTGCTTTGATTAGTTTATAAATTATGCTTGCTAGGCCAGCGCCGGCAATAGGGCCGACCCAGTAGATCCAGTGGTAGCTTGGGAAACTTAAGGTTATGACTGCGGGACCGAGGGAGCGGGCTGGGTTCATGGAGCCGCCGGTCCAGAAGACGCCTTGTTATGTTAGTGTAAATCTGATAGACCTCTTCGGGATAATCTGAGCCTGCTTACCGGCTAGTTCCCCTATGAAGACAGATAATCCAATACCCAGAGGTGCCAAAAATGTAGCCTCATGCTTTTCAGCTGCGAGCATGAGAACTGTAAAACAGAGCTGACATGTGAGTATCATCTCAAGAACAACTCCTTGTGCTGGACTCATGCCAGGCTTAAGTGTAGTTGCCGTATGTAAACCTCCGTGATATAAACCATAAGCCATTGCTGAAGCGGCAATTGCACCCACACATTGTGCTATACAAAGTAGGACACATCGAGTTAAATCGATTGCACCGACGAAAAACAACGCGATAGAGACCTTTCAAAATTAGTACAGACTCCAAAACTTAGACTTGGATTACTATCGCACTGCTGGATCAAACAGCCCTCCACTAATACGGAAAAAAGTCCACGCGTTAACTACCAGACTTATTCCAGCTCCAAATGCTATAAACAATATCTGAGTTGTACTAATCGATTTTGTCTCGTAACTAACTTTATCGCCTTTGTTATCATTTGCAGACGCGAGAGCTACTTCAGCTGCGGAAAATGCGATGAATAGAAAAGCAGTTGTGCCAATAAGTTCGCCAATGACGGCAACAACATGACCTCGTACTTTTTGTGGAATGGAAGAAAAGAATTTAGTGAAGACTTTCTTGAGCGGATCGAGACGGGAGAGAGCGGTCTGGCCAGGACCCGAAATGTTAAGTGTAGGTTGGCCGTTTAACGTCGTGACGGACATTTCGATGGGCTGTAGGTTGGTGGATAAAGATGTCGTTCATAGGTCTGCGAGTTGTCGAATTCATGTGTAGTTCAACTTGGAAAAGTTCAAGATTCGTAAATTTCATGTCTTACTTTTTTCTTGAATAGATGACTCTTTCCCGTTTTAATACGAAAACGCCGAGACCATAGCAGCGGGTGTGTATTTGCAAGGACTGAGAAGGGAAAGAAGGAATTTGTCTAAAAGCTGAAAGGCAATTTTGCATGTGTTTTTGATTATCTTTAGAAATGAACAACTGATTCCTGTATAAATGCAAATTTTGACGTGCTTCGTATATAATACTTTTCACAATGAAAAATCCTCTGCACCAAGAAACACCATCGTCATGAGATAGAGCTTGTAACTTTTACTGATTGAAGAAAGAGATAGAATCCAACTATACTGTATCTACAACAGACCACATATAATCACTTGCCAGACAAACTCTCGAACCTCACAACTTCTCCTGAGAAACACCTGCCTTCCTATGCATTTCGTCCTCAAAAGCAGCAATCAATCGATTTGTCTTTGGATCTCCAGGTGGAATTAGCTGCGAGCCCCATATACCACATACTCCATCTTTACGATTGATCCACCACTGAAGATTTGGATATCCTCCCCAGGCGATCGAGCCTTTGCTTCTACCACCGATATCTTCCAGATTCATCATGCCTCCGAGGCCCCAGTCCGCTTTCAACCCCTTTGGAAATGCACCCAAGCATTCATTAACTTCTGGGACAGAAAGGTTCTTCATCAAGCCTTTTCTTGAGGCTTCACTCAGCTGCGGCTTGAACATCTCATCCACGGTTTCCGATTTTAGTAGTTTCCCATCATTGGCACAAATGCTTTGTAAACACTTGAAATAATCAACAGGACTTCCGAATGCCCCAGCACCTCCTTGACAGTCTTTGGTAGCTGGATCAAATGGTACTTGACTGGTATATTTGGCTTTACTTGTGGGACTGTCTGTTGTTCCATACTGAGTGACGCCTCCTTCTCGTTTACTCATTGCGATTAATCTTGATAAGATCTCTGGGTGTTGAGTCGGGTGGAAGGTTATGCTATCCATACCAAGAGGCCCCCATATGTTCTTTCTGAAGTATCTTTCCAAGGACATATTGCCATTGACTCTTTCTACCATCTGGCCAGCCCAATCAATACCAACACCATAAGTCCATGACTCACCAGGTGCAAAGAGAAGTGGGA